ACATTGCCAGGGTGGCGAAAAGTTATGGAAGAGGAACTCCCTACTCTTCATCACAATCAGAAATGGGAACTCGCCACTCTTCCCCCAGGTAAGCGTGTTGTTGGCTATAAATGGGTGTATGTTGTTAAGTATCTACTGGATGGAAGACTGGAATGCCTGAAAGTCCGTTTAGTTGCAAAAGGGTATTCTCAACTTTATGGTGTAGACTATTTTGAACCTTTTCTCCAGTTGCAAAGATTGGCTCCATCTGTGTGTTAATTTCCTTAGTTGTCATGCATGATTGGCCTCTATTTCAGCTTGATATTAAATATGCCTTTCTCCATGGGGATCTTCTAGAGGAGGTGTACATGGAGCAACCACCGGGGTTTGTTGCTCAAGGGGAGGATGGTAAGGTGTGTAAGCTCAAGAAGGCAATTTATGGGCTCAAGCAGTCTCCCCGTGCCTGGTTTGGAAAATTTAGTGAGGTGGTAAAGGAGTTTGGAATGAGATAATGTCAAGTTGATCATTTAGTATTTAGCTATGACCCTATGGCCAGGAAGATCTTGCTGGTAGTTTATGTGGATGACATAGTCATAACTAGCAGTGATAAAGTTAGGATTGAAAGATTGAAGACCTCCCTACAAGATCACTTTCAGACAAAAGATCTTGGGAAGTTGAAGTATTTCCTAGGTATAGAAGTTGCTAGATCAAAGCAAGGCATAAACCTCTGTCAGTGGAAATATGTACTTGATCTGTTGGAAGAAACAGGGTTACTAGGTGCTAAACCAGCTGAAACCCCCATGGAGCTGAATGTGAAGTTGGGAAGTGACACAAGTGAATTGTTTGATAATCCTGGAATGTATAGAAGGCTAGTGGAAAACTGAATTATCTAACTATCACTAGGCCTGATATCTCATTTGCTGTCAGTATGGTAAGTCAGTTTACGTAGAGTCCTCGGGTACCTCACTGGGATGCAATTCTTAGGATTGTGCAGTATTTGAAAGGGGCTTCAGGTTGTGGGTTACAAGCCAAGGGGTAATCTTGAAATAGTTGGATACACCGACACAGACTGGGCTGGATTTGTATCAAACAAAAGATCCACTACAGGTTATTGCACCTTTCTCGGAGGAAATCTTGTGACTTGAAAGAGCAAGAAGCAGACGATGGTAGCAAGGAGCAGTGCAAAAGCAGAATACAGGGCCATGGCACACACTATATGTGAACTAGTGTGGTTGAAGAATCTATTGTAGGAAATTGGGTTCTCAATAAGCAAACCCATGAAGCTATACTGTGACAATCAGGCTGCAATTCACATCTCATCCAACCCAGTTTTCCATGAGAGAACTAAACACATAGAGGTAGATTGTCACTTTGTAAGGGAAAAGGTCATCAATGGTGTGATAAGGACAGAGCATGTGAGAACAGGTGATCAATGGGCAGATATGTTCACAAAAGGGATGAGTTCAGGGAGAGTGAGCTACATATGTAACAAGCTGGGATTATATATATTCTCCAGCTTGAGGGGGAGTTTTAGAGTCGATTAGAGAGGGGTATTTTGGTCTTTTCCCTTTATGTATGGTGTTGGTTGTATGTCTCCTCATATTCAAGGGCATTTCAGTCTTCTGTAATTTATTTTTCAAGGCTGCTGGGTTAGACGAATAGTCTATCAGTTCAACACTTTCTCTTCCTTTTTCTCTCATATGCAGGGGCATTTCTTCTTCTTCTTCTTCTTCTTCTTCTTCTTCTTCTTCTTCTTCTTCTTCCTCTTCTTCTTCTTCTTCTTCCTCTTTCTCTCTCTTCTCTATTCGGCTGAAAACTAACAGAACGTAATTGTAACAAGGGCGATTCATTGGGTAAAGACCCTAAACATTTTCTCTCCCTTCTCCTTTGATGGCATTAGGAGGAATTGGGGCTTAGCGACAAGAAGTTCTTCAGAGAAGGAAAAGATTATCTCCCTTTGGCCACCACCTGACGAAGACTTTATTAAACTAAATTTTGGTTGGAGCAGTCAGGGTAACCTAGGCCCTTTGGTTGTTGGGGGTGTTTTCAGGAATAGAGAAGGAACTATTGTTGCACTATATTTGGGACCAGCACGTGTTGGAGATTCAATTAGAGTTCAACGTCTTGCTTTACTCCAAGGGATACAGCTAGAAAAACAATTGAATTTTGATAATTTGGTCATTAAAGGAGATTCTAAGTTGGTAGCAGGTTGGCTAAAGGACCTGATGGCAGTGCTATGGACTTATAAGGAGGAAATCAACAGATTCAAATGGATCATAAGTATGGCTATAAGAATTGGATGGGAAAAAGAACAGCCAATGGGATGGCGGATTCTCTAGCCAAACAAGGGATTAATAGGATTCAGTTGTAATTTGCTGCTTTGCTCAGGGAGAGGTTGCACCTTGTACCTCTAAAATGGCAAACAGAGAGATTATAGTTGACTATAGTAAAAATAAAGAATTATGTACAAGATCTTTTCAGCAATGACATAATTTATCATTCAAAAGGAAAAAGGAAATGGTGTACACCATGGAGATCTAAGAAAAGAATATGCAAGGTCATCCCCAAGCTGAAAAATCTTTACAGCTACACAAGGTTCCAAAGATAAGGATGCAAGCTATGTGTATAGTTTTGAATCCTGATGTAGCTAGATCAAATAGCAATGGCTCTTGTATCCTTAATATCTATCTCAAATTGAGAATGCAAGGTAACAGTAGTAAATGAGTTTCATTTAGAAGGTTCCGTAACCTTCCCTAACCTCTCCTAAATTACTAAATTATGCACCCCATCTAATGGCATTAACAGAGTCTACCTCTTTCTCTGAGAAGTTCCTTGAAATGGCCTCTTTGATCAATGAGAAAGGCCAGGTCTCCACCTTGGTAGAATTTGTTCACAAATGGGTCTACTAAAAATCTAAACTATGTCTCCCATTCTATCCAAATGAAACCATCAATTGCAAAAGGTTGAAGTCTCTTACTGGAATACCTATAAAACCTTCCCTTAGCCTCCTCCACAAAATCATGCCAGGAAGCAATTCAGGTGCATGTGTTAGGAACCAGGCCAACCCAAAATCTCTTCTTGTAAACAAGCTAGGCCCACTGCAGCCATGTCTGAGTTTTTTTTTTTGGATCAATAAAAGGAGATTTTATTAAAATCAAGTTCAAGTAGTACAATAAGATGGGAGTTTTCTCCATCCCAAAGACAGCTTTATAATTTATAATGTTGCCCAAAACATTTGGTGCCCATCTCTCCCTTGTTTATCCAGACCATCCGCCATCCCATTTGTTGTTCCTCTTACCCATTTAATGACAACATTCAGCTCCCTCGTTATGCTTAATATTGCCTGAAAAGTATGTTTGTAGATCCACGGGATTTGAGAGTTACATTTTGTCTAAGAAATGACAACCTGAGAGTCCCCTTCCACCTCCAAGTTGTTGAAACCAAATTACTTAGCAAATTTTAAACCATGGAGTAGTCCATACAGCTCAGCTGTTAATGCATTACCATCTGACAAGGGTCCCAAAAACAAGGCTAACACCTTTCCTTCTGTGTCTCGGAAGACTCCACCCAATCCAGCTGCATCTTGATTACCAATATAACTTCCATGAAAGTTGACTTTAACAAAGTTGGTTGCTGGGGATGTCCAGTCCATTGTTACTCTTTCCTTGACCTGAGCCAATAGTTCCATTTCCAAGTTCTCAAAATGTCATTTACTGAGAAAACTTGGAAGGGTCTTCACCCAATGTGCAGCTTTAATTTTAATCGTGTCAAAGATCCCACCTCTGCTCTACTCTTTTCAGTGAAAATCCTCCCATTTCTTTCTTCCCAAACTGTCCATAACATGGCTGTCCTCTCTGCTCATCACCCACATCAACTCTAACAAAAGATATGAAAGATGGATCCTCCATGAAGAAATGATTTTGTGATCAAGTTCTCTCTATATCTTATGTGAAATGATCATATCAGTCCATTTAGACTTGATAAGATACCACAGTTGACTTGTATTTTTCATCCATGGGACATATATTCAACTTGTACAATAGAACTGTTGTAAATTTATCTATAAGATAAGTCAAGAAAACCTTGTCCCAACTATACAGGATCAGCCACATGATACCTGTTCCACCATTCTGCGCTGCTCAGTGCCATATCCATTGTTAAATTATGGGTCCTGAAATCATTTCTGGCTATTTTAACTCATGTCCTTTTTGGCTTGCCCCTAGCTCTTCTAGGCCCTTCAACTAGCAGCAGGTCACATTTTAAAATTTGGCATGCTTCCCACCCTAGTAATAACTAATTATTGAACAAATAGGGAAATAAAATTGAATAAATTGGTACAGATATTACTTTCTCCTTTTTCTCTTAGGCTGACAATTCATTTCAAAATTTAATGGGAGAACTTTCCCTGCATAACTATAGATTGGAACACCACTGGAACTATATGATTATCATAGGACCTTGGAAAATGAGAAAGGAAAGAGTGCATGAACATTTAGTCTTAATAGCTTTCCAATTAGTATCTTCATCATGCATTTAACATGGAAATTCATTAAAAAATGGAGTTGTTTCTGCATATGATCCACATTCTCTCCAAGTGTAAAAAGTAAAAGAGTAATAAGAAAGATCCATAACTTCTTTACATTCTCAAACTCCAGTGTTCTAATTGCTATATAGGAGAATAAGTTTCAAGACCAGCGATAGCAATTGCACCATGTCTCAACATACTCTTACCAGTACTAAAATATCATATATAGAAGCCATACATCATTCATACTATTTGAACATGGTATATATCATTGAATATTTTGATCAAGATCTCCAAACAATGTAACATTGCTAACATGATTTGTTTCATGTAATAAGTTGCAGCATTTGATGGTTCTTCACTTTAGACCAGAACTATTCCTTGAGCAATTTTAACTGTCTATCTCAAATAATGTATCTGCAACCAACATTTTGTTATTCATTGGGTTTCAGAAGTAAGGCATATAACTAAACAACTCAAGGATGGGAATACTTACCCCACGTTGAATCCGCCTAAGAACTTTTGCTATATCCAATTGACCATCTTGTGAGAATGCAGAATTCCACTTTCTTGCACTAAGAGTCTTACCAGCCTATGGAGATAGAAGGAAATAACACAGCCAAGAACAAACAACCACAGAAATAGTCAATTATAAGAACTCAAAAGAAGAGAAGAAAGGCATAAACAGATTACATTTTATAAAGAATAGAACCCTGAATCTATTTTTCCTACAAACTGACGATTATAATTTTCTTCCTTCTATATTCTGCTCCTCATAAGTAATCAATGGCATGCTTCAAGCAACACTAAATTCGAATGTCTAAGCACAGAAACCATAACGATAGAACAAGTAAACCTTCTCCATAATGTGAACGAGAGAAATCTTATAGGCAGCATTTCGATATATAGAAGAAGAAGAAGGAGAGACACGAACCCTGAGCTTAAATCGGGTTTTCGGGACGTCATCTTGATATTCTGGTTTAGTCGCATAGAAAGAATCCGACTCCCCTGAATCTACAACTCCACAACAAGCAACATCACCACCCATTTCAAGTAAACACCCAATTCACTTCCAAATTAATGGTTTCAGCCTTCCAGGAAACCAATTGCAAGCAACCCAGAGGCTCAAACCCAAGATCTCTCAATATTTCACAAGCATGAAAGGATCATCATTCCTCATAACTCGAAAACTTGAATCTTCGACAGCCTAATTGATTTCTCAGACAACCCAAATCCTCAATCTTCAATGCGTAAACGACAAATCCTAGGAGAATCAATAATTTATGAGCGATCTCCGGAGCATAAATTGTAAACCGTAAACATTCTTTTTAAGGTTCGAAGGACGGTAGGAACAAAAAAATGTAATCAGGACAGGAGAGATGAAAATGGGCGTCAGGCGAACCTTCTGAGCAAGTGATGAACGTATTAGTTGGGCTGCATTCACTCGTTCCGTGTGGGTCCCACGCCTATACGTTGGAAGTGGAAGTGTGGAACTAATCGTCGATTCGTCGGGTGCAGCCGTGCAGGGTTGCAACTTGGGCGAACTCAATCTGAGCCCGGTTCGATGCACTGGTTGGGTTAGGTTTTATCGGGCCTGGGCCTGAAAGGTGGGCTTTTTTATTCTTTGTTCGCAAGTAGGGTTGCAACTTCGACAGGATTAGCCCAAACCCGGCTCAAAATATTATAAAATATGTATTACTAGCGGTGACCTGTGCAATGCATGCGATGCTGTATTTCTATTTTTTTATATATAGTATAGTAGAAAAATATTTCATTTTATTTTTTAGTTATTTAAGTTTCAAACTTTCATTTTTATTAGCTTATATATTATGAGAAGCACATAAAACAACTGCTATGGCTCAATTGATACCTTATCTAGTTAGTTGTAATAGAGACCTGGGTTACCTCCCATTGTGTAGCCCCATAAAGCCAAAAAATGTGCTTTAACATGAGATTAATAATCAAGCTAAAAAAAACAATTTCAAAATTGAACTGATGATAATCAAAACTCACATTTAGTTCTTTCTTACTACATTTTATTATTGAACCAAAACAATCCATGAAACAAATATATGTTAAACTAAATTAATAAAAACAAAGGGAAAAGGCTGAATCCAAGGGAAAGGAGCAATGATTTGTTTAGATTGATTCACCCCATGTACTGGTGGGCAAATTTGGGTTTTTAGACAATAATTTGGGTCCAAGTTAAGGTTCATATTTAGATTTTCCCTTAATTTAACCCAACCCATTTAATTTACACCCTACTTTATTAGAGAGGGCCAAAAGGGATTAAGGGATATTTAAGAGAAAAATAAGGGTTTAATGGGAAAGGGAGATATTACAAACATTCACTATTAAGGTGTGTGTGTGTGTGAGAGAGAGAGAGAGAGAGAGAGATTTATTAGAGAAAATAAAGACCCATGAGGTTTTTAATGATTAAAATAAAAATAAATGTGCACATGTGTGAGAAAGGAGAGGAGGAGGTACATGTGAGCTCTGTGGTGAGAGGACCCTTACCTCCCTTCTTTCCTCTTTCTCTTATATATATAGATGGGTGTTATATTGTAATATAAAATATAAATTACCACGTAAAATAAATATATACAAATGTATAAATAACATATATATAAATACTTTTCACACACACACACATATATATATCTATCTACAATATGTTGAACCAAACCTTGATTAGTAAATGTAGGTGTCATTTAGCAAGTCTTTTTAAAAAGATATTCCAGCAACCTAGATGGCCAAAAGACATATTGAGTTTTGGGGTCTAGTCTTTAAAGACAAAGACCGTTTGGTAAGCGGCTCAGTCTATCAGGCTTTTAAAAATGCAATTAGAGGCTATCTATCACACAGAAAGACCAAAAAGATTCATTTGAAACTTCTCAAAATTTGGTGTTTTTGGTCTACTTGGGTCTTTTCGCACACATGTTTTCTCATCTTTTCAGTTTTTGGTTACCAAACGGAAAATGACTAGTTTTCAATCTTTCAACCTTGTTGAAGCCCAGAAGACCGCACGGAAAGACTTGCCAAACTTCACCATAAAATAGGTTGATTCTAGCATTGAGATTTGTGTTTATACTATCACAACCAGTATAAGACATTGTAAATTTATGAGTATAAAATTGAACTAGGTTTCCATCATTTTATTTGTACAAATTTGCATTTACACTAGTGCATGCACTTTTGGGAGTGCTTATTATTTTTAAACAGGCTTTTCAAAGAAGTGCTTATGAATATGACCTTGTTAAATAAGCAACTTTTGGGTGTTTGATGTAATGTTTTAAATGGTTTTTTCTTTATAAAGGCACTTCTTATGGGTGTAAATTGGGATGGGACACGTGTCTACCATTTTGTGTTAAGCATAATCTACACCTCGAAGCCAAGTTGGGCCTAGGGGTAAGGCCTGTAGCTCATAAGGGCCTATGCCAACCTGTATAGGTGTAACACCACTTTATTTAACCATTGAGTCTAATGTAAATAAACAATATAAAAGAGAAATACTTTGTCAATATTTTTTAAATTTATTTTCCATTACCTCAACAATAGTTTGAAAATGTTCTTCATTACTATGTTTTGAAAAACAAACAAACAATAATTAAAAATAATTGATTGAGTAATGTACATGAAGTTGGGTAATAAATACTTGAAAAATATTGGCAACAATGTAAAAATGTAAAAATCTTTTTATACGAATGACAATTTCCCAATCATATTCAATTATGACATCATTGGTTATTATTTCATTGTAAAATATGGTAAGGATGTCCCCATATGGGATGCAACTTTCTAACACAAAATATGTGGAATTCCACCTATGTTGAACATCTAACATAAATTTTTTATATTTATTTTCTATATTAAAGACAAATTTTTTAAAATCCTATTTTCTTAAACTTGAAGATCTAAAAAATAAAATACAATTTCTAATTTTTGAATTATGTATTGAAATAATATTCAAATCATTTGAAACATTTAAATTTAAAATATGGCATGCACTTCTAAAAAGAAACAAATTTCCTTTCAAATTAAAATAGGTTTTAATTAGAATCTTAAAATACAGAAACATCATTATTACTAGCATTATCAAAACTAAAAAGGGTAGCGTAGTGCATGAGCCTCCTACCAATGTGGGGTCTAGGGAGGGACAAATGTACACAACCTTACCTACACATACAAAAATGTTATTTCCAATATTTGAATCCTGATCACCCAAGCTACCATTACCAAACCTAATAAAAAAATTTATTTTCAATACAATAACTATATATAGTATTTAAAATACTATAAAAAATTGTTGAGCCATTATGCGGTAATTCAAATCTTGTAAAACATAAAATTATTTTGTAAAATCCATGATTTATCAATGAAATGCCTAGTGACACAAATATATTCTATTTAGAAATACAAATATCTAAAATAATTAAAATTATAGAAGAGTTAAAATGGTATAATTAAATTTTGTTTATATGAAGGAAAAATTTAATGAGCATCCATTCTAGAAGCATCTCTAGAAACTTTTCTAAAAGTAGGATTTACCATGGTTTTGAAAATTAGACTAGATTAGACAGTTGGACCAGTTAAATTGAGAATTGATCATAGATCTAGGTCTGGTTTTAGACCCCAAAACCATCTGGTCGAGGATTGGACTAAACAGTTAGACCATTTGACTCAGGAACCAATGGACAAAGTGCTTTATTTTCTACGTCATTTTTTAAAACCATGGAATTTACAATAATTGTAAAAAAATTTCAAACCATGAATCCTTAGAAAATAAATATTGTTGTTCAACATGTATAATATATCTAGCTAATGCTTGCCTCATTTTTTCTTGTGAATATTAAAAATTGTCAAATGAAGTATATGTGTGTAATTTATGTTTGAGTTAATAACTTTGTTGTATGTATTTTTTAAATGTCTAGTGCTACCATACTTAATTTGGTAACTAAAATCCTTTTTGTAATTTTTGCAAACTCTCCCATACCTTTTTAGCATCAACTTCTTGTATTGTGAAGTAGCCATACATCACTAGTTTTTTCTTGATTTCCCTATAATCACTAAGACCAATATTAGTAATAGTAGGACTAATACCAACATCAATGCTTTCATACTAGGATTAGGCTTCATTGAAGTCATGGCAATAGGGAAAGTGAATCAACCATTTTAATAAATATAAAATATTAAAACACCAAAGTTTAGAACAAAAGAAAATTGATTATTTATCTAATAATCAAGCTGATATCTCAACTTGATTTCAATAGATGAGCTTCTAAGCCTCCGAAATTACAAATGTAAGACACTTGAGTAAGGCTCCTCCTTGTTGAAACTTGAAAGAAAGTTGAAAAATATTGATATATCCAACATTCTATTGTTCATCAAGTTTTAAAAGGAAGGCATATGATTAAACAACTTGAGGATGGGAGTGCTTACCCCACGTTGAATCCACCTAAGAACTTTTGCTATATCTAAATGCAGAGTTCTATTTTACTACACCAAGTCTTACCAGCGTATGGGGATAGAAGAAAATAGTGCAACCACGAACCAACAACCACATAGATAGTCAATTATAAGAACTCAAAAGAAGACAAGAAAAGCATAAGTAGCTCATATTTCGAGAAAGAATAACATCATGAATCTATTTTTCCTACAAATTGATGTTTATAATTCTTTCTTCTATATTCTATGTAGCAAAAGTAATTAATGTCATGCTTAAAGCAACTATAAATTGGAATATCTAAGCTCAAAAACCATAATGACAAAACAAGTAAAGCTTCTCTAGAATTTGAGCAAGTGAAAAATTCAATGGGCAACGTTTCGATATATCTAAGAAGAAGAGACATGAACCCTAAGCTTAAATTGGGTTTTTAGGACATCATCTTGATATTTGTGGTTTAGTCACATAGAAAGAATTTGTCTCATCTAAATCTATCACTCCACAACAAGCAACATCACCACTCATTTCAAATAAACAACCAATTCACTTAGAAACCAATGGTTTCAACATAGCTACACATTATAAGTAGAATGAGTTTGAAGAAAACAATAGCTTCTCTTGATCTCTAATTGACAGGATATATTGTCAAAATGCAAATTGAGCAAATTCAATATGAGTCTGGCTCGATGCACAAGTTAGGTTAGGTTTATTGGGCTTGGAGCTGGAACTAGGCCTAAAAGCTTGGGCTTTTTTGTTCTTTTTTTCTCAATTAGGGCTACAACTTGGGTTAAGTTGGCCAAACCCATCCCAAAAGGTAGAGTTGGGTTGGGTTGAAGTTTGGGTTAAGGAGTTGAAAAATATGAAGCCAACTTAACTTTGGGTTGGCTTAGGGCTGAAGCCTTAAACAACCTGACCCAACCCAAATTTAACTTAACTTCATATTTGCATTTATAAATGTT